AAAAAGATACTTGCATGATACTGCCGCGAGAGATATACGAAACGATAAAACATGGTTCCCGTGATGTTCGTTAAAGGGAGCTAAAAATTCAACTCATACGAGATTTACAAATTGGTAATGTACCATTGCTCTTTTATTTATTTACGAGAGTTTAAGATGCTTCTCTTACGAGATTGGTAATCATCGTTCTTGTAGCGTGTTGATTACGAGTGAAACATCGAAACCCGAGAATAATTACGTCCAGCCAGTTTACTTACGTAACGCCCGGTCCTTTCTTCTCCGTTTTTCGATCCTAGAAAAACGGCCCCTGACCCAGTTCGTTACGTAAGTTTATAGGCATTTTCATTCATAACGGTAGCTTTCTTGTAGTCCTATCGCAACGGTCGTGCCACTTTTTCGATAGGATTGCGCCGGGATACAAATACTCTCGAATCGAATCGCGACAGAGCTTGGAAACGGGATATCCGATCGGCCAGCGCGTGAGAAGCACTTTTCATGGGGACAAAAAGTGACCGATTAAACGCGACCGGCTTCACGAGCGTCGACCAATTTCACAAGACAGTGACATTGGAGCACGCTTTATTTATCGCGCCGGTTGCGCAAGCAGGCCATTGTTCCCAGCTGATCTTAATTACCGTCATTACGCTCGCGCCAGGTATTAGTCTCGAGTATCGTTGACCTCCCGCTTCATTCTGCACGCTCGTTTTTTTACAGTGCCGCTCGTAAAAGACGCGCAACCTGGAAAACTGTATCACCGTGTCCGATTAGCGAGGAATTCCCTTTCCTTCTGTCGAAAGGAGTTACTCCCGGCCCTCAATTTACGCGGCACATTCTTACGTGGTAAATTAGAACACTTTACACGGTAGATTTTACGCGCGATCTTAATTCACGCGATCTGAATTTAGTAACAACGAATAAAATCTACTTTTATTTTCTGTAATGTCATTATTGTTTCTTTCCTTTGGCTATTTGACCTCTTACCGTACAAAGACGAGCGAGACTCGCGATGAAGTCTTCTAGATTAATTTAACAAAAATCAATGTTGTTCATTGCCCACGGATCGAAGCAGAAAACTATATTGCTCTTATGAATTTATTCAAATGAAATTTTCACTTAAAGTACATTGGAAAATTTTCTTGTTTCTTCCAAATTGTTGACAGCAAAATGTTACTTAGCGGTGAAAGTAAATAGTATGCGAAGGGGTTAAATGAATATGAATTTTTAAAACTTATGTCAACTTTTTTTTCCAATATCTTGTTTCCTTTTGTATCGATAGATTTCTGTTCGCATAAAACGAATCCACGTGAAATGGATTTTCGTGTGAATCGAGAGTCAGGTGTATTTTTTTTCTTCCGGCGGCACAGAATCCTCAAGACACAAGCTTCGAACACCTTTCTCCCGAACCGTTTGACTCGAAAATCTCCCTGAAACAACCGGAGCGCCAGCCTACGGGAATTCCTGACCGCATCCAGATGGCGATTACGCTCGACCCGGCCTTACGTCACACGCCGTTTCCTCGTCGCGCGATCTTTCTCTCCCGTTTCCGTCTCCGTTTGCTTTCACTCTCGTTTCCAGCGGCGCGTACATATCCGACGCCGCTCGATGTCGATGGAGCCTGTCATCTTTATGGGAACGGTTAAGACACGGGGACCGAGAAACTGGTTTAGAATCTATAAACGGAATATGACTGGGCGAAACTTTACTGGCAGATGTTTATTGGAGTTTATTGGGTGCCGTGAAGACTGGGCATTTTTGACTTTGAATTCTTGGATCTATTTCTATCGGTTTCTTAAACGAAACCCGTAAAATAGTACACCTCGACTTTGAGTTCACATGAACCCATCGCATAAGGAAGAAAACGCAAGTACAAATTTGAAACAGGAAAATGTACTCGTTTATTAGTAGATATTCTGTACTGAATCCATATAACAAAGTTTTTATCTATAAAACCTGTATGGCACCCAACTATGGGGAATGGCCGTGAAGATTCATATACCCAAACTAGAAAATCTACAATCAAATGTCCTTCAGACAATAGAACAAAAAAAAAACTGTTTGTGGAACAGAAATATCTGTCTTTTATACTTGGAAATTAAAATAGCCTACGGAAGCCTGTCTGATCAATAGCAAGCTAAATCCACTAAATCTTCATAAAGGAGTATTTCATGGGCTGCCGGTCACAATTAATTCCTCCATTGTCTATATAACATGATCAATCACACTGACTAAAAGCTTGTCTAACACTCTTCCAAGTTCAACTGAATTTACGCTTGCTTGACTTGTCAATCCATTTCTCAACTATCTCAAAGTGTCATCCATTTCTCCCAACGTTCCACCATATTTCAGGCTACAACATCAATCCTCTACATCAACATCATATCGGCAACAAAAACAAAGTCACCCAGCACACCTCTCGAAATCTGACAAAAGATCTGAACATGTATTAAGATCTCGCAAGATTATCTCGAGAATGAATATCGTGCACCGCCAAACCGGTAGCGATTCTCGATCCCCGTTGGCATCCCGGAATTTCCGTTGCAGTTTCTCGATCGAATTTCAACGACGCCAGCGCGTCGATCCAAGTCGGTGCGTACACGAGGCGGGCGCGTATGGGCACGCGGTGAAAGTAGACGAGTCATTGTGCGGACGTTTCGCGGAAAGGCCAGGACTTCCCGATCTTCCGATTACGCAACCGGACGGACCAGTTTTCGGCGAGCGGACAGACGATCCCCGCAGCCGTGCAAAATCGAAAGGGAAAGGGGCCCACGGTCCGGTCCCTCTGCGTCAAACTGACGCTCGGACACGGTCGATCGCAGAAAAATGACCCGGTTAACCCTTTCACGTGGCCCGAGGCGACGAAAACCGGCGATCGAGGGATCGAGATCGGCGACCGGACCGTGACTTCCAGCACTCCTATTCTTCTTTCACTCTTTCTCCCTACGTTCTTTCTCTATTTTTTCCCTCATTTTTTTCTGAATGTCGGACGGTGAAAACGCTCGAGGCTTCCACTTGCGAGCAGACATATCGTTGTCTCGAATAATCGGCGAGGATTAACGCGCCGACACGATCCGCTGAGCCGTAGCAATGCTAACGAACCGACCAAGGTAAAAATCGTGAACTCAGCGGCCGTAAATTAACCGGTTAATTAGGAAGTTCATTGATGCGGGTTACGTAAGAGCGCGCGGATTATCCCGGATCGGCGTTAATTCGCGCGACTCGCTGCCTTTCGATTAAGTTCCGGGCGCGGGCGTACCTTCGCAACCGTTACTTTCATATGGGAATAAATCGTATCGATGTTCCTGTTGATTCAGGAAGCTTTCGGTTCGGTTTACCGTTGCGAGTTGGCAATAAATCTTTCTCTCGACGACTTTCCTTTTTGAAATATAGCGAACGAATTGTATGTTTTGGGATATCGTTATCCGAATATAGCAATACTACTTTTGACGGAAGTATTGATGCTGCTTGTTTGACATTATTGTATTGAACAAATTGACCAAGTGTTTGACTGTGAAAAGGATATTAATAAACCGTGACTGTTAGCTGTCATCAACTCATCAATGATCATAAAACCTTCTGAAAACATATATTCCGTTAACAAAAGTAGAAGCTTCAATTAGATAAAGTGTTACCATTATACTACGAATTTGTATGCAAATTAAAGTATTTACGAATATACTTATAAACCCAGTATCGCCATAGAAAATTGTTTATCCTACTAACCACTGTAAAAAGCAATTATATATACTATGATTGCCTGCATTTCGTGCAATATTGCACTCTAAATTTATGATAAGCGCCTAAAAATCATCAATCTTATCATAGTATCCCCCGACATCTATGCAACAAAACATCTCATAACCACGAATGTTTCTCGGAACGTTCCCCACTATCCTTCTCATTACGCCTTTCTAAGGAACATTCTTGCACAATAAATTAACAGAAACGGTAATGGCACAAATATCCGGTCCCGCAGATCCGGATAATCCGGATACAATGCCCGGGGGATAGACATGATTTACGAGGAACGTTTATTAGTCAGTCGCTGGACAGATCTGGATCCGGTCCAAGCTGACTCCACTTACCGGCTTCTATTCCGCTGCTGGTATCGGCGGGCATCGCTGTCGATCGTAATATTCGAGACGCATCGGACGCGAAAGGCGGAGAACGATAAGATCGGGACACGTTTTCACGCGGGACGAATAAAAGCGTCACGTCGCGGGCACGTTCGGTGATGCAACCGTCCCCCTCGGACGCGGTTTCCGCATCTTCGCGTTGCGCAAGTGGGTGAACCAGTTTCTGGACAGACCACCTTTGTGTAATTATGCCTGAGCAGCTGTCCCGCGGAAGAACAATACCGTCTCCTGTTCTGGCTGCCGTGAAAGCTGTCGTCCTACGCGCTGTCAACGCGAACGACAGCTACGGCTAGAACCGATTATTCCTTTCTTTTCTTTCGAATTTTGTTCATTCGCGTTCATTTACATAGGGAACCGCCGATGAAAGGCTGAAGGATTCACGGCCTGCGAAGAATGAGGAAACCACCTCTTGATCGGAATCGCACGAAACGCGGGTGTTATAAGTGTTAATAGCTTTCAATGAAGAAAATCTCTTAAAATTAATTAAATTAATAAGAAAATTTAAAATTTATGAAATTATATTTATTGATTTTATTCAGTTATTAAAACTAGTTGATGTATGATCTGCTTTGTAACTGCGGTAGCTGGGATAAGGTTAACGGTAATAGTTCACCGAAAATAAATTTTTTCTTTTACCTCAGAACATACCAATTGATAATTGAAGAGTATCTCATTCGAATTTGTAATTTAGTGACATGTAGTTTTTGTAGCTTCTCTTTGATAACTCGTTTAAGAATTTTTGTGGACAAATGCACATAGATTTGATTCATTATTTGTTGCACAATCTTATTTTCCTCTTGATCGTTACATATATATTGTTAACAATCCATTTGTCGTACAGTAAATTTGTTCTGCAACCAGAAGCCTTCGGTAACTCCGGCAGAATTAAGAACCACCGGTGTAAAGTATTTCGCATAGGAAAATGTCAAAACTACGAAAATATTCTCCAGTATATCATGTCCGTGCAAATATGTGCCGGTTAAATTTTCGAAATGCAATGTTTGTTCAGCCGGGGACAGGCTTCTGCATATATACGTGGTTTAAGCGAAGAGAATCGTCGAACGTGCTCGCGGAATTACAATTCATCTGCGTCGTGTGCCGTGATATGGATGCGGCCTAGCAGGTCCTTCGGTTGCGCAACCGAGCCGGCCAATTTCGGCTCAGACGGCGTGCAGCTTTTGTTGGCCGACCGAGGGCAGCGAAAGTCCGGAATAATGGTTACCGGACAACGGGTTCCCTTTGTGAGCGCCGGCCGATCGAAGAAAGAGAGGAGAAATAAAAAAACCGCCGGTCGCTAGCCTGCCGGAAATTTCGTGTCTTCGGCTTGCGACACTGCGCCTAATGTCGAATCGTTCGGAAGAAATTCGTTTATTTCGTTCGCATCGTTCCTACATTTCTTTACTGCTGTAACAGTAACGTATATATTCGAATGATTCTTTGAAGATGTATCACCGTGAAAAATTGTTGCGTTCAACGAACGTAGAATTAATTACTATATATTTCATCGTGTGCATCACGGATGAAAGATCGTATCAGCGATAGTGAAACGAAGTTTTCTAAGCCATTTTGACTTTATAAGTATTTTATAATCTATTCATTGGCGTACGATTTTATTCATTCTTCGTTTCTTAGTTCTCCAATTCTTCTACGCGGTACAATAACGTAGTAGTATAAAATATATGTATACATATATAACGTAAAATGTATTTTCATCTTTGTGGAAACAGCGACGATATCGGAGGATGATTTGGATTAATTACGATGAGATTTCGTTAACCCCTTGCCTTATGTATCAGACTCGTGAGAATTTGGAACTAAATTCGAGAAATAGTGATTTATTTATTTTTAGCATAAACTAAATACTGCTTATCTATTATTGATTTTTAACATTTGTAAAGGTAGACACAAAATAAATATAAAACTCTTCTTTTTCTATTGAATTATTAATGATGAAGTTGTATTGTCAAGCACTGTTCAGAAATAAATCATAAGGCAAGGGGTTAATCCACAATTATGCGTAGGTCGACGTAAACACGCAACGTGAGCTATAAACAACAATATTTACATTATGGACACGTCGATAAAAATTCACTCGCGCGGTGTCGACGAAGCACAGCGCTCGAACGAAAATTTCTCGCCGACGCAACGGGGACAGGAGGCATTGTTCGGGATCCGCGCGGATAAATTTGTTTTCCCACAAAATGGTGGAACCCGGGGCGTTACAAGGCAGTGCACAGCCGCGGCGAAGAGGCTCGCGTGTAGGGAATTGTTCCATAATTAGAAGCCCGCGTCCAAACTCGACAATTTACGGTTAAACTAATAATGAACGCTTACGGCAACAATGGCTCGTGCTCGTTCGTCGCTTAACGCAGCCACGCGAACACGTCGCATCCACTCGATCGGAATGGATTCGTTTCGCCTGGCGAGGCACCGTGCAAGTCTCGTCAAACGTCTCTGACAGCGATTTCTTAACACTTTGCCCAGTCGTTGTTTAATAGTCTTCAAAAAATCTGTGATTAGCTGCCGAGGATTTCTTAATAAATCTTCCGATAGCTATTTCTAAATCGATTTTCCAATAACATAACCTGTTGCTCTCTTTCGGAATTATCGTTGAAAAATAAATATACATTAATGTAGTCCTTTAATATAATCATTGTGAAGTTTATAAATTATATATTAACAGACTTCAGCTAGATATAAATGCCTGACGATCTTGATGTTCCGAAATAAAATTCCAATTTCTACAGGCATTCAACCGGTACCAAACTTTTTCGTCGTTATTTTCAGACGTACAGTAACTCATTATAGTTTCTTACATACTTCTTAACTCTAACTCTGACAATTAAATATAACTAATATAAAAGCTGTCGACTTCTGTGAGAGAATCGATGAGCCTCTCCATCACTTTCCTGTCTGTAGATGTATGAAACACTGGAGAAACAACGGTAGACTTGACCCAAGGGCCCATCTCCATTAGCGTAGCGCAGATATCGTCAGTACCGCGATGAGTCCAGGTAATATCGTCATCGAATACGTAGACCCGGCGCCATTGTAGAATCCGCTGCCGTAGACCTGCAGTCCGGCGGTCTCGATGCTGCGCTTGCAGTAATCCCCGTCTGCAATTCAGCCGGATTCATGGTTTCCGGAGGTGATACTCGTGTTATCGGCCGGTGGTTATTGTTATTACACCGATGAACACTTTTACGAGGATGATTGCCGCGTGGCGGGCAGGGTGGCGGCAAAGCGGTGCAAATTACGGGGCCGTGAAACCCCGGTGGGGATGATTGTGCGGAACAATAGGCGTGAGAAGCGTTACGAGGGCACAGCGCGGTAATAAAGTGATATCAGAAAAATTCACAGAAAATTTCATCTCCATCTGACCCGCGTTCCAGTTTAATTCGATCGTAATATTCTTCTAACGAGCGGCGAGAAGATGGAAACCGCAATTCACCCTTCGAACGCTGCATTCCGCGCGATGGTTTTAACACTGAACGTACCGTGAACGGTCAAACGGCCGGTCTGAAGATTTGATTACAAATTCTGCATTTTCTTTCACCCATTTATATCGATTCTTACATTCCTCGATTAATCAATCTTTCGATTTTCGTCTTTCCTTCTGTTTCTGTTTCTAATAATATATATTTAGCGTTTAACTTGTTTACACTTGTTTTATAACTAATTGACTGGTTACGGTAGATACAGTTGTATACGAAGTGTCGGTACGTTTAGTGTTAAGAGATATTACACCGTGAAACGTGCAAATGCGAGATGGAAAGAATGTTATTCAGGGTTCCTCAGGCGTAATAAGCGAACAATCCCTGTAATTTGACCTCACAAAGTATGTCTGTAATTGCCGAGTTGTTGCAAATGTAGGAATAATTGATGAGTGCAAAGGGTTAACTTTAAAGGTGAATCGTTACGGTCATTCGCTGAGAAGAAAATTGTTCGATGAACATGGGATGAATAAAACCAGCTGGAATAATGCGAGTCGTTAAGCCAATAGAACGTGCTGCAGAAATCGGCGGGTCGTTCCCGCTCCGGGGCGATGTAGAGCAAACCGTTCTAAAATCCCGTGATCGAGATCAAGTAGCAAACAAAAAGGTACGAAAGAGAACGTGAAGAGGCCGTTTTCGCTTTCGATCGGTAACGCGTCGCTCCGAGACATTTCGATGACGCAAAATCTTCTTTGCGTCACCGATCATAGGCAGGAAAAAAATGAAAGAATTCCTGACCGCTCCAATAGGACCGTTCCGAACGGGCCCGTTAATACATTTCGACCCGAGATCTCATTAATAATTCACTTCCTCCGATGCTGGAGCATAAATCGGTGAAAGGAGACGATTAGATCGCGGAGGCTTCTGTAAACACGGGCTCTCATGGGCCGGCTAACGAGCACTTGAAATAAATGCAAATTCATCGGGCGTGCTTACACGGTAACGGCCGATGACGCGTATTTGCGCCACGCGGAATTTATTCGCGCTCGGTATATCGGTGAAAATATTTCGTCTGGTAAGGAACGAAATCGAAAGGGTACACGATATCGTGATCGAAAGAGAAATTATACAACCGACGATTTCTTTCTCCTCGGTTGTCGCACTGCACCGCGTGTCACGTACATCTGCGCTTTCCATCGCGCGATGACTTCTCGGAAGCAGTCCATTTTTCCCGAACGGTGTCGCCCGAAACGGTTTCCTTTCCTCGTCACCATCGACGATCGGTGTAAAGGCAGGTGTCCATTTGAGAACGAAAGTGTCTTGAGTTACTCTTGAGAGTGATGACAGATTTTTTCATTTAAGAAACGAGGAAGTGGAGTTGATTAAATTTCAATTGATCTATTGAAAAAACGAGAAATTGAAAATAACTCGTCGAAAACGATTGCATTAGCGTTTGTCCTCAAGTAGATATAGAAAAATATCATTTTTGAACCGATACTTTCACAGTACCATCCAGTTTGGAGTTTTAAGGGTAGAAATATTTATTTGAAAATAAAACTACCTCAAGTTGCTCTCGACAATATTTCTCGCTAACGAACACTGCATTGAACATGGCCATTCAAGAATATTGTCAAAATCGTCCTCACTCTCAACGTAGTTTCCACTTAGAAATAATCCCTAAAGCAACGATAGTTTTGTTCTGAGAAATCTAGCTTTACTTTTAAAAAACCGATGTTCCCCAGGAATTCGAAACTCAAAACTCGTATTGCAGTTCTCCAAGAGCGATATTTCTCTTCTATCCATTTGAGAACAAAAATGTCGTTTTAATAACCCTCTCAGCGCAGCATCCGCTCACGGGAAATGCTCCCGACGTCTTCACTCTCAAATGGACACCGAGCTTAAGCCATCGATCCGTCGCGCGGTGAGTAATCGAAGCAGCCGTGTAATCGCACGCGTGTGTGCACTTACATACGTGCGAACTCGAGCGGCGCGGCGGATCGAGGCGCAACGTGCAGTGGAAACGAGAGTCGAATCGACAAACGTGTCTCACGACGCTGATTTTCTCTCTCCTCGCAGAGGCGGACTCTTTCACTCTTCCTCTCCGTCGTGCCCGCGTTCGTTCCACTCCGATTTCGCAATTCGCCAGTCCCACGGGGCCAGAACTTCGCCGGCCGAGGCTTGGCCGGGACCACTTTGCGTTTTACGGCATGAAATAATTACACGTCGTGAGTCTCCTCGAGAGGATCCTTTCAGAAACGACGGTTCCCGGTCGATACTTCCGACGAGGGAAATACTCAAAGATTTTGAGCGGCGAACGAAGGCGATCAATCAACATCTCACCTGGCTTGCTGCCTTATTTCTGGATTAATGAGCTCTGATTTCGTAAAACATCGTGAGATAATCGCGCCACCGATCGACTGCGGATTCTTCGTTTTCGTTTGGAATGTAGCCAGCGCGAGCTTCGATCGGTTTAATTTTAATCTACTCCAATTTGTTGTTCTTTAGATAAACGAACCTGCATTGTGATAATATCACTACTACAGTGTAATTTCTTTTTTTTGAGAAATGGTAAAGTAAGCGTTAATCAATTGAAACTCTAACAAGATTCCTATCTCACTTTTACCATCTATGAATCATCGAAGAAAGTTCAACTTTCCGGTGAGACAACATCCGGATGAAAGAAAGCCAAATTTGCGTGAATGTCCGTAAATCATTACCGGTGAAGGATGGTTACGTAACGCGGCGTTACGCGAGTTTTCCGCGTGAATTTGGCAACCGAGGAAGACGCAACGCGACGAGTCCCAATAATTTCTCCGCACACCGGATCGTAAGTCAGCCGAATGTCGTCACACAATGAATATTTGTAGCGCTCGACGGTAACTGGCACGTGGGAACTGCAACCTTCAATCTGTTACGGTAGGAAGTTGCATAATTTGTAACGAGTTACGATGAAAGGCGCGCGCGTGCACCGTCCGCGCTCTACGCCGATATCGTTGTAGGGTGTCACGTGAATCGGTTCCTTGTTTGCGTCTAATTGCCCGCGGAAAAAATCGCTTGTCTCGAATAAGAATCGCCTGGAAATGGCACTCGGACGCGGAATTGGAAAGCAGCCGGCTCGACGACGGAGAGGGACGACAGCGAGAAGTGTTTCTGTTTGTTCTGCTCGCGTTCGAATTATTCACCCCTTGCAGTATGATTTCCTTCGCGACTGTGCTTGTTATATTTGCATTACTATTAATAGTTTATGAAATTGAATAAAAATTTTCTCTTCGTTGTTGAATACAGACTTGTTTTGAAGATACAATATTGATAATAGTATAATTTTTTATTTGGAAATATGAGCAACGAAATGAAATTGATGCTTATTAGACTGAGTTGGAAATCGTTCTATCTCTGAAATGTCATATTACAAAGAGTTAATTTATCGAACGTCTCGACACGAGACACGATTTGATTAATTCAAAAATGTCTTATTTTGTTAGCTGAATTATATATTCACAGGTTAATAGACAAAAGAGCATCTCGCAGATTTTCAAAGAAGCTAAAAATGAATTTAGCGATAAGTTTGTGAAAATATAATTGTTCATTTTGAAATGAATTTCCGATTCTATCCTATGAAATTTTGAGATCGTGGGATGATAGAAATTTAAGCAGTGTCTTAATCATTTCCCCCTGACAGCTTAGTATATTGCTGGTCCCTGAAATTTTCAAGCGAAACATCCAGCGAAGCTTGAAACAAATATTAGTGAACGTAACTGGAACTTGTCCCTGACCATGACCCAACACTGTTCGCCGAGAGGCAACCGAAAATACTTGCGAATAGAGGAAAGAGAACAGGTTAGGCTATTTAAACAATAAATGAGAAAGGTGAAAAAAATGAAAAAACGTAAATTAATAATGAAAAATACCAAAATGTAATTTCCTTACCGTAAGACCAACCAACGACGTCTCCGGTTCTCAAGTTCTCCGTTCTGAGCCAATCTTCGAGAGGTCTGAAGTACTCCCTCAACGCGGACGCGTCCAATCTACCCTCGCCGATAGCTTCTTGCAATGTATCCTGCCACGGTATCGACGATCCCTTTTCCATAATTCTCCTGCAGATGACAAGAACTGATTACCTTTCAATTTAACGTCACACAGAACGTCGCATTACCAACTACACAAAATATTTCAAAATATCGTCCCCCATTAAAACAGAAATTAACTGCATGAAAAGCAAAAAGAATTCATAACGACACAAGAAAATTCCAAACAATCTTGTACCACAATTTAATGTCTAATAACCTTAATCTTCACAACACATCGAGCAAGCCAGTTTCTATATAAACTAGCGCGGTTGTAAGAATGAAGGAACACGGTTACAAATTAATCTCACAAATTGCCGCAACATTAGCCGCGAATTAAAAACGTAAAACGGTGTGCGACAGAGTGCTCCTCGCGCAACCGGGGCGGGGAAAACCGGCAGCCCGTGTATTCAAATCACGATCGTCGTTAGGGCTAACGAGATCGCGGGCTGGTTGCAACAGACGCGGCACGCAACAATGAAAAACTGCGCGCGGGAGGCGAACCCCGCGGAAAATCGCGGGGGGACTGGGAACAAGAGAAAAATAAAGAGCCATAACGAGCCTTCTTTCTCCCGCGGCCGCGCAGCGATCCTCTAATTAGGCTATCTTTGGCAATCGGCGGTGCTTCGGAGGCGTTCGAGCGCGGCCCGTATCCGCGATTTCTCGCTGCGGGTGTGTCACAACTCTCGTTCCCCCGCGTGCTGATTCAATGCCTCGCCTCGTAAAGCGTTCTGCATAGATTATATCGTAACATGCACGCTAACTCTTCCTCGGAGTTAGCATTTCTTTCCGTGAGAGTACGATCTTCTGAAATTTTTTCCCAAGTCTCTTTTCCTGTTCTGAGAGGCTATTCTTGGCAGTCGATGAACTCAGGAGATTAACACTCGGTTCACGGGACACGTTTGACGCGTATTGGATTTTATAACTGTTATTTAGTAAGTGTTATAAAGTATTATAAATGTCGATTTCGATTGATGCAATTATAGGAATACATATATCAATTGTGGACTTTTAAGCACTTGATTTCTGAAATCTGAGAGAACGAAGATCAATTCTCCTAGGGACATGTATTGCACAGTGTACATTGATAAACCTAGTGTTAAGAGAAAAATGATACTGGAAGGAATGGAGTTAATTACAACACTTATAAGGCTACTACTTAGCTAGCTCTCAGGTTCGAAAGTTAATCATTTAGCAGCCAGTCGGCTGCAGGGAGTAATCACTTAGCTACCGTTTAACGTCAGCAAGTAATCATTTAGCTACCGAGTTATTAGAGGATTTTCAATTTCTCTCTCTTTACGATGTTGCTTATACAAGTAACAGTGTGGGACGTTCAACCAGTCAGTTTCCACATCGATCGTCGCCTAGCTCAGAGGCAGCAGCGAACCTCCCTCGAACATAATGCGCGCTTTGATTCTGAGCAGCTACTCCCACGCGAGGACGCCGGTTCGCGCAGACGGCCGCCGGTCTTTATGGCCATCGTACTGTCGTCATCGCGGAGAAACTTGGCGTTGCGGACGTGCTTATCCCGATGACGATGGGCGTGCGATTGGTCCCACTTCTATCGCCTCTAATTGTGGCCCTCGTTGCACCTTACCCAATCGCGAATACAAAGAATCAGGACGAGGAAACGGCATTCAATTATTCGGTTCTCATTGTTTAATGTCCCGTGTCCGTTGGAAAAGAAATCATTACAATTATACAATCTCGCATTGCGGTGGGAATTCCACGTGGAACACACGAATCTGCGTTTCAATGGACTTTTTCCAAGAAAATATTCATCTTCCTTGAAGACGTAGTTATCCTCGCGTAAGTTGATCCCTTTGAAGACAGTTGCAGTCATACAAAATTGGATTCCAGTGAGAGTTTCCGTTTCGTTGCGCTGTGAGAGCCTCGAATCTGCATTCAATTGATTTGTCTAGGAAGATGTTTCCCTTGTCGCGGCGACTTTCGTCGGTGGCCTGTCGAGTTGGCCGATTGGATTAGCAGGGTAACGATGCGAGCATTAAATCTCCGCAGACCCGGTCAATTAATTTCGATCGCGGGAGGAGATAAACGCCGCATGCCGATCGAGAGTGAACGTCAACGAGAGGTCGTCGACACGCTAAATCCCCCGGTAATGACTCGACAAGGAACGTTCATGCAAATTCACGCAAAAATAGAATGAAACCGTAATGCGATGAAATCGTGTATCTCATGGTTTTTCTTTCCTGCGTTTTTAATACGCCATAAACACAGAAACTTCTGCGGTTTAGTAATAGCGGCCGACGGATCCAAAATGGCGAGATCGACGAATCGGAAATGGCGGTTTCGAGCATTAACATTTCAAATTGAGAAGTATAAATGAATGATTTAATTATCGGAATAACGAGAGGTTGATATATATGGTTTTCTTTTTTTTCTAGTACCTAATTATCTAAGATCTCGATGCATAAGTCACTTTTTTGTGGAAAGGATTTTAAACCAGTTAACTATGTTTGACGAGTATACACGTCATCTTAAATCTTGGAATGATACTAATTCCTTCAACGATGAATTTCTCATTTTTTCAAATACGTATGTAATTCTTTGTTTTGCTTTGGGGTTTTATTTAAATGTACCTTAGGTACATTCGTTCTGTGTTTGACGAGCACAGACTTAATTTCTTTTATTTTATCGCGCACAAAACGAGAGATTTTTGAAACTAAATTCCACAGTTAACAAGTTAAAATATTAAAAAACTTCAAAAATGTTAACAATATAACTACCAAGTAGTTACATTGATTTTCTCTAATTTGTTCATAAACATCATTAAAGTGCATCTATTGAAATTTCGATCAATGTACAATTCATTTCGAGGGTCGCTAAATCAGTATCTTTAGCAATCTCTCGAAGCAACACCTGTTATCACTTCAATAATTATAAAAGAACTGGAACGACGTTAGTGTCAGTGTCAGAAATAGCCGGCCAGAGGCAATAAAGAAATTTGTTACGCAGTCCCCGATGGATTGCCGGATGACTTGGCGGTCGTTTCCTCGCTCGTTCGCGATCGCGAACGATCCCTCGTTACGACGGTAAACAGGCGAGCCGGCGGAGCCTTCCGACGGGATTTTACGGTGGAAACGGCGGCGCAAGAAAAATCGTAAGCCTCTCATTACGTGATTCGTTTTACGTCCACGTTTCACCGTCATTCGAGCTTCTTTCTCCTGGCGACGCGACGTAACCCCTTTCCATTTTCCCATTTCTTTCGTTCGCCAGCGTCACAACATGTCACCGAGCTGAGCGACACATCCGAGGATTCGCAGTACCAGGTGTTGCGCAAACGGAGTTGAGCCTCGCGTCGAGATTTCAATCCTTTTGTTCGGGTATTATCAAGCATCGCAGTGATTGAGCTGTACGAAGGATTTACCGATTATTAAGTTTTTATTTCGAAGCTGTCTTGTCCGGCCACGAGTGCGCAACGCTGCTTACGATTATCCACAGGATGTCATCCGCGGACTTTACATTGCGTTTCGTTTCAATCGTTTAATCAGGTATACTATGTTTCGACCGTTTCGAGCAGACACGTTTTTGGTTCTTGTTGCCTCGAACACATTTCAATTAGAATAATGAATAAACTTCGCCCCGCGCGATGGCCGGACCGGTTAAACTTCCGAAGTCGGTTAAAGTTACAAGAATTATAGGCGCGACGAGAAATGGTTTCACATTTCAAACGAAACGATCCAACTTTTGAGAAATTTAATGTCGTTCGAATAATCACGAAGGCACTGAATCTGGCCAGTTGATTAACTCCGTTTCCCCTTCGTCCAATCTCGCACCGCTAGGAAGAAGACTTTGCAGTAATCCCATTATCTGCTCGCTTGTTCCGCGAAAGCGCGGCCGGTTCCTCGAAGTTAATTTCTGATTTCAATTTCCTCGGGCGGGAACGAGTTTTTTTTCGCCGGGATTATACAACGGGCAGCCCTTAATCACAGAAAAAAAGTGTGGCCGGACCAGGGAAAGGCTTATCGAAAGCGATAATTGGTTATTAACACTGACGCAAGCGGATATTTTGGAAAGTCGTTCGCTCGTTGCCGGTTACTTCCGGTTCCTAGGACCCCGTGGGAACCGATCGGACGCGCAAAAACATTTCGGTGTGGCCTAGATATAATTTATACCGGGCTGACAATTTCCGGTGCGCGGCGAAATCGCCACTTTCCTGCCCCAAGCGCCGATATTTCGCAACGCGGGATGCTGGCCGCCCGATTCTGCGTTGCTAATGCGTTCCCGGTGTCCGACTCGCTTTATTTACTTGTGGGAAAGCTGATAGACACGGCGAAAGCGGTTGACAATGGCGCGTTACCGTCGATTCCCTTGGGGTTGGCTTTTCTGGAGCTGAGAACGCTGTTTGCTATATTTCCGAGACTGTTTTTCGCATTATGGTATCGTTTGTGGATCTTTAAAATCGTTATGATATTCTTATAAAGGTCTACAGAGATTGAAGCTTGAGGAGATTCATTCTTCCGCGATCAGACTGTTACGAAACTCTTTTGCAACATATTTCCTGGGATGTTATTATATTTACTATTAACAATAGTGATTAATTCTAGAAACAATATCATTATACATTTCACCATTGCTTACTTCTCTTTGATCTTCTATTCATTACAATTACACATTCTCCTTCTCAATTGTACAATCTCAGAATTTTCGAAAGAATCTTCCCTTCACAGTTACATACGCTGCACTTTCGTTAACCTTCTTTACCATTCCCAGCTCGTGTAATATTCCTATCAAAATATTACCATTTTCATCAAGCTTCTTTAGACATACAGGAACCGGGCACGTCATCCCTCGTTTCCTCCCACAGCACTCGAGTCAGCAAGGAACACTAAACGATCCTCTCTTACTCAACCTAGCACTCGACGCGCGAACGACCGACGTGTTCCATTGTATGGCGGGGAACCATGAGCCGGCGCGACTGGGTTTCCAGCAAAATCCGTGTCGAATCATTTCCATTCGCCTCGTAGAAGCTGGTCACGAGGGACCGTCTACCGTGCACCATCGTTCGG